GGCTGAAAACACGCAGCATTTTGGTTTGAGGGATGCTTGACAGACAAGCGGAAACAATAACAACCATTCTATCTAATCGATGCAGCAACAACTTTTTGAGTTAACGATCTTTGTTCGCAAGATGGTCATGGAAAAATCTAACCCGAGTGTCCAAATCAAGGCATGTGGAATATGCACAAGTACAGGGCATCCTACAGATGCATGCTTGACCCCTTCAAGAAGGATATGCAGTGGATATGAACACTGCAAACTATGGTGTGAATAGACCTTCGGCGTACAATCCATACTCCAACACCTACAATTCAGGCTGGAGAGATCATCTGAAAAAGTGCTATGGAGACACATAGCAGAATCATGGTCCTCAACCATTCGGAGCTACACACCAGATACAACAACCTCGTCCTTATGAGAAATAGCCCTCCCAAGCACCCACAAGGAACTAATCCATCTTTGGAAGACTTGGTGAAGTCCATGGCTACCACTACCTTCCAGTTCCAGCAAGAGACGCAATCAATTGTTGAAAAGTTACAAAGTCAGATTAGTTAAGTATCATAGGAGGTAAAACAACTACGTGAAAGTGGAAAGTGCTATAACCCTTCGTAGCGGGAAAGAATTGGAAAGTCCACCTCTTATCTCAAAGGAAAAAAATAAAGATCAGATTGAAATGGAGATTGAAAAAGAAGCTGACTTCACGAAAAGGTACATTCTAACGCTATTCCTCATACTTAAACTAAATCGGCTCTTTTCCTTGATAGGTTGAAGAAACCAAAAAAGGCAAACAAACGAAAAGAGATGATGGAGATATTCAAGAAGGTGGAACTTATATCCTGCTCCTAGAGGCTATCAACCAAATCCCCAAGCATGCGAAGTTTTTGAAATAGCTGTGCACCAACAAGAGAAAAATAGCGAGGGGACGAGCATATTAAAACGGGTGAGAATGTCTTTTTTGTTCTCAAAAGAAAAGTACCACCTAAAATAAATGATCCAGGTATATTTTCTATCCCTTGCAAAATTCAAAAAACAGAAGTTGCTAAGGCTATGTTGGACTTTGGCACCGCTATCAATGTTATGCCATGATCACTATATAACTCTCTAGATATAGGACCCTTAAAAGAAATAGGTATTATCATTCAGTTTGCTGATCTAACTAATGCCTATCCTAACGGTACGGTAAAAGAAGTACTAGTTTAAGTGAATGACTTGATTTTTTCTGTCGACTTTTAAATTTTGAATATGCATGATGCACACTGCTTTAACTCACTGCCTCTCTTGCTAGGCAGACCTTTTATGTGCACTGCAGGTGCAAAGATTGATGTAAGGGAGGGCACCATCTCTTTGGAATTTGATGGAGAAGATGTCCATTTCAGTATATTTGATGCTGTGAAACACCTTGTCAATTATGAATCATTATATACAATTGATGTTATCAATCCCTGAGTGTAAGAAGCATTTGAATTAAGTGGTTATGAAAAATTGAAAATCGTGTTGGTGGAACATCTGGAGGAAGAGCCTATGAGAGAGATAGCCGTAGTCAAGAGAATAAGAAAAGTTCTCAAGGAGCTTAACTCGATTCCGAGAGAGTCACCAATGTATGAATTGGCTCAAATATTCTTACATGAATCTAATAAGTGATTCTTACCATCTTTGATGCAGGCACCAAAATTGGAATTGAAGCTTCTATCTGAGACTCCGAAGTATGCTTACTTGGGAGAGAAAAATACTCTATCGGTGATTATCTCCTCGAAATTGACACCAAAACAAGAAGAGAAACTGATTAAGGTTTTAAAAGATGAAAAGACCGCCATCAGATGCACAATCGCTGACATAAAAGATATTGATCCCTCATTCTGTACACACAAGATGACACTCGAGGAGGATTCCAAACCAGCGAGACAAGCTCAAAGAAAGTTAAACCCGATTATGACTGAGGTAGTCAAGAAAGAAGTGTTGAAATTACTTGAGGCGAGTATCATCTACCCCATCTCCATAGTAGATGGGTGAATCCAATTCAAGTAGTTCCCAAGAAGGCTGGAGTAATGGTGGAAGAGACTTGAGAAGGAGAAAAGCTTCATGTTTGAAAGCAAACTGGATGGCACTAGTGCATATATTACCGTAAGCTCAATGCGGTAACACAAAAGGATCATTTTTCTCTCCCTTATATTGATCAGATGATCGAAAGACTGGTTGGTCGCGTATATTACTACTTTTTAGATGGATTTTTAGGTTACTTTCAGATAGCGATAGCACCTGAGGACCAAGAGAAAACATCATTCACCTGCCCATTTTGAGTTTCCGCCTATAGAAGGATGTCTTTTGGTTTGTGTAGTGCCCCTGTTACATTCCAAGGATGTATGGTAAGTATTTTCTCTGAGTATATTAAGCAAATCATTGAAGTATTTATGGATGAATTTAACGTATATGGATCTAGTTTTGATGACTGTCTAGGCAATTTGACTCTAATCCTAAAACGATGCATTGAAACTAACCTTGTTCTTAATTGGGAGAACTATTAACTAATGGTTCAACAAGGAATTATTTTAGACCATAAGGTATTACCTGAGGGTATAGAAGTAGATAAATCTAAAGTTGAACTAATCACTGCTTTACCTTACCCTAGTTCTATGTGAGAGCTATGCAGTTTTTTAGGACATGCAGGTTTTTACCGATGCTTCATCAAGGACTTCTCCAAGATAGGTTTTTACCGATGCTTCATCAAGGACTTCTCCAAGATCAGAGCATCATTGTTTCACCTCCTACAAAAAGATTTAACATATAAGTTCAATGATGATTGCAAGAAGGCATTTGAAGCATTGAAGGAGCGTCTCACAACCTCACCAATTACTCAACCTCCGAATTGGGACTTGCCATTCGAGCTGATGTGTGATGCAAGTGATAATACAATGGGAGTTATTCTAGGGCAACGAGTTGGGAAAGCTTTTCATGTCATTTACTATGCTTCATAAGCATTGAATGGTGCTCAATTAAATTTCTCTACCACAGAGAAAGAGATGTTTGCTATTGTTTTTGCTCTTGATAAATTTAGATCTTATCTTCTAGGCACTAAAGTGCTTGTCTACTTTGATGATGCAGCTCTACACTACTTTATGGCAAAAAACGAGGCCAAATCTCGATTAATTCGATGGGTGCTCCTTCTGCAAGAGTTCAACATAGAAATTTGTGACAAGAAATGAACTGAAAATTTAGTGGCTGATCACATGAGTCACATACCTGTGAAGTCAGATGCAATTCCTGTTCGAGAGTCTCTTCCTAACGAACAACTTCACTCCATTGCAACTACATACCGTTGGTATCCTGATATTGCTAGTTACTTAGTCACTAACAAGTTTCCTACAGGTTTGCAAAGCAAAATGGGATAAGCTCCGAAACGATGCGAAATACTACATTTGGGATGATCCCTACCTTTAGAAGTGATCTCTTGATCAAATCATTCGAAGGCGCATTAATGAAGGTGAATTTCACTCTATTTTGACCTTTTGTTATTCTATGGCATGTGGTGGAGACTTTGGATCCAAAAAGACAGCTAGAAAAGTGTTAGGGAGTGGACTTTACTGGCCTACTCTTTTCAAGGATGCATTTGAGTTCTGTAAGTCTTGCGATAGATGTCAACGAACAGGTAACCTTTCTTCCCATAATCAAATGCCTCAATAGCCTATGATGTTTGTTGAAATATTTGATATTTGGGGTATAGATTTTATGGGACCTTTTCCTAGTTCATATAGGTGCTTGTATATTGTTTTGTCCGTTAATTATGTTTCAAAATAGGTGGAAGCAAGAGCCACCCGAACTAATGATTCTAAGGTGGCTGCAAAATTCATTATGTCCAATATCTTCTCTCGATTTGGAATGTTGAAAGCAATTGTGATTGACAATGGAGCTCACTTTTGTAATAAAACCATGGTTGCACTCTTTCTGAAATATGGTGTACTTCATAAGGTGTCAACTTCGTACCATCCTCAAATGAATGGGCAAGCAGAAATCTCCAATCGTGAGGTGAAGTCTATCTTGGAGAAAATAGTTCAATCCAACAGAAAAGATTGAAGCTGGAGACTCGATGATGCTATGTGGGCATACCGAACAACATACAAGACACCAATAGAGATGTCACAATTTTGATTGGTGTATGGAAAGCCTTGCCATTTACCTGTGGAAATTCAACACAAGGCATTTGGGGCAATGAAAAAGTGCAATATGCACCTTCAAGAAGCCGGAGTCCATCGAAAAATGCAAATTCAAGAGTTAGAGAAGATTCGACAAGAGGCGTACGAGAATGTGACTACAAGGAAAAGACAAAAGCCTTTCATGATCATCATATCTCCAGAAAAAATTTGGAAATTGGACAAAACATCTTGTTATATCATTCTCGTCGCAAGATTTTCCCTGGAAAATTGTGCTTTAGGTGGATAAGGCCATTTATCGTTACTAAACTTTTCCCTTGTGGTGCAGTGGAGATTCATAGTTTAAAGATGGAGAAAACATTTGTGGGCAATGGACATTGGCTTAAGTCATATTACGAGGGATTCCCATTTGAATTTGTAGAGTTGGTATCTCTTGCCGGTGCTGAAGTTGAGAACTAAGATGCGAAGAAGTCTAGCTAAAAGACTATAAACAAAAGCAGTTTTTGGGAGAACACAAACCATTTAAATGTTTTCTTTAATTTTAATTGTTTGCCTGTTTTTTTATTGTTTTAATGCTAATAATATTTTTGATTTTTTTGTTTGATTTTGTGCAGGTCTTTTGAAAAATAATTACTGGCTCTTGGCGAAAGCACGATCAATTTTCTTGATTTCCAAAAAAAATCAGACCAAGAGATGACTTTTAGTCATGCTTATGACTAATTGACACCTCGCACACTGTTTTTTTTTTTTTTTTTTTTTCATCCAACCTTCCTTTACCCATCTATTTTCCAGAATAAGAGATAACTAAACACCCCCTTCACACCGCATGCCTTCTCCCTTCTAACCCTATCCAATTCAAACCATAAATCCCAAAATAAATTTAAAATTTCCAAAATCCAAACCCAACCGGTCTCTCCCACTCTTCCTTCCGCGACACCACTTATCTCTTTTTCTCTTCTTCTCCTTCTTCGCCGAACACCGCCTGACGGGCCTCTCCGGCCTACCTTTTTCTTCTCTCTTCCTGTCTTCCTCCATTCTTCTTATTCTTTTCCATTTGATGATTGCCCTCCCCTGCCTTCCACGACGATCACCAGATCATCATGCGGCACCACCGCCGAACTGGGTCAACCAAACCAAACCGCGACCGCGATTCTCCGCCGCACCAACCTCCGCCGATCCAGCCCAGATCGCTCTGCCGCAATTCCAACCACCGCCGAACCGGTTCACCCAAGCAGAACCTGTTTTCCACCGCATCGCCCTTATGCCGAACCGGTTCGACCTAACCAAACCGCGACAAACTTCCGACGCCGTGATTCTCCACCTCGACCCTGCTGTGCCACCGCCGAACCGGTTCTCCACCGTGTCGCCCTCTTGCCAAACCGGTTCAACCAAACCGAACCGCGACAAGGTTCCAACGCCGCGATTCTTCGCCTTGCCCCTGCTGTGCCACCGCCAAACCGGTTCACCCAAGCCGAACTGCGACCGCCCGTGCTAATATCTCTTCACCCCTCTGGCTCGGTAGTATCTCTTCATTCCACATTCCTACTACTGTCAATTTTGAGATTCTATATTGAGAATTGGGTGATTACTTAAACTGCTCATTACAATTCCCATTGTCGAATTTCAGTCCTTAATATCTAGGAATTTGGTTTGATCTTGGCGTCAAATTTTCCTTACATGGTGGTAATATTGAGGTATTAGACTTAGTTTGCAAAATCTTTGTTCTGATTTTTTTCTTTTTGGATAGATTATTAGACCCATGTTCTTGATGCTCTGAAACTGATATTTTCTAAGTGATACATCTGGATAGTTGTCGAATTTGGGTGTTTAGATATTGCTTTGGTCTGGTTGTAGTCTATTGTGTGGCCGGCTATTTCATTTTGTAGATTTCATGGGTAAAGTTCGAGTTCTAACCACAAGCTCCAGTAAGGCTACTCAATCAGAAGGAATTATCAAGAAGAAATGCAGACAACCATCAGTCCACCTCTTGTTGTGCCACGTATTCCCGTGGGTGGCACCTCTTTCGCTGATCATCGTGCGTGTCGCACTGCTACTCAACTCGCCTCCACTTCAGTTGTTGGAGGTAATTTGGATTTTCCTGACCCCCAACACCGCCAGTGTTATGATCAATGCTTGGAAGCAGGTCGAAAAATCATTACTGGTAAATTCTTTCACATACCGACCTTAGATTACCTCCAGGTCACCACTTAGGTTAACACGTATGTTTCCAATGTTGGTTGGACCTTGTTTGCTACTTTCCATTTACCAGCAATCACTGAGTTAGTCTATGAGTTCTTTTCTTCATTCCAATTCACTTTGTTTGATGTGTTTGATCATTTTATCCGATGTCATCCATTTTTGGTTAATGGGGAAAAGTTTTCATCATTCTATAACTGAATATGGTATAGCATTAGGAGTTGTGTCTAAACTAGATTCTCATAGTGCCGATTACTCCAGTAGTTTATGTGATTATGCTGAACCATTTGCTAGTGAGTTCTATGACTTTTGGCAAGAAATTAGTGGTAACGCCTCCCAGTTTCATCCACGCGATGCTCATTCGTCATGTACCAAACTTCCTACTTTACGACTCACGCATAAATTCATTACCTATAATTGAACTGGTAGAAAAGATGGTGCAAGTGTGATTTCTAAGGTTGAATTACATATGTTATGGGCATGACTCGTGGCATCCGAATTAACCTTCCCTTTTTGTTGGCCGATAGATTTAATCGTGTGCTTTCTACTAAAGGTGGCAACCTTATTCACGGCTCTTACATCACACACCTCGCCCTTAACCTTGGTCTTATTTCTGATGTTTCTATTGAATATCTTACTTTTTTTTTCTCTTAACAGAGCCTGCTCGATGGTGCCTCTGGATATTCCCTATTTCAAGGTAATGAAATTGGTTACAAACTCCAACGGGACATGGTTTTTTGTTGGTACACCAATCCGCAGATCTCAAGCTTCTCCAGACCTCCCTGCCTCTGATTCCAATCCACCTACATCCTCCCCTCAAGGCTCCCAGATGCGATTTGATCACTTGCGACCTGCACCCGAATACCAACAAATTGAAATTTCAGCCCTTCGAGCTAAGAATGCCGCGTTTAACACTGAAGTGACTACAACCCTCTCCGAGCTAAAGCTAATGATCTAGTCACTCATTCCCCGCACAGATTAACGTCGGCCCCTCAAACTAGAGAAGCATCATATTTCATTTCTCTTTCTTCTATTTTAATTTTTTCTTTCTTTCATTGAAGACAATGCATAATTCATTGATTGGTGATATGTTGAGATGAGTCGACGTTTGAACCCTATGAGATTTGAGCCTATGTTCCAAAAGTTAGATTTGAAAATAAACTTAATATTCAAGCTTTTGGAATTTCTTTCATGTGTGATTTGTAGTGCTAAATTAGATGACCTAGAACTTAGTGATTATGCATGTTGAACATGCAACTATCGAGTCTTGCGTCTTGGAAATGATAAGGGCATTAAGTAACCCAATTAAGCATTTCGTTATCACCTAGCCAATAATTTTTCCGTAATTAGCACATTTGAGCCTTTTTAGAATATTTTTCTTCTTTAATAAACCGTCTTTTAGCCTCATACTTCTCTTTTTATCAAGCCTTCTCCGATTTGAATCCTATGTTAGAAAGAATTACTTTAATTTCATGTTGTGATGCACTTTATTTTTTTGACACTAGTTAGAAACAAAATTTGGGTATGAATAAGACATAGTATGCAGGAATGACCATGGGTAGTGAAGGTATCTTTATATAAAGGCAAAAGCCAAAAAAAAAAAAAAAAATAGAAAAGAGAAAAGAGAGACAAAGATAAAAATAATCATCTTGATGAAGTATTTTTATATAATTAAGTTATTAAAGTCTGGGTAGTAAATAAAGTAAGGGTTTCAGTGTTTTTGCCAATTTGTTTTTCTGACATATTTTAGTCTTTGTATATCGATTTCCCTATTTCTGACCATAAGCCATGCTACAACCGTTATTGAAAGTCCCTCTTATTCTTCATGTTAGATTCTAATATCTTTAAGTAAAGGAGATTTGATTTTTACTCAAGCCTATAGGATAATCTTTTGTTGCATTACCTGAGTGTTGAACCAATTGTACTCATTCCTTCAGATAGCATATACGTATACACTTTATCTTGTGAGTTCGACTTGGCTTGACGTGTTGAATTTTGGATTGAACTGGTTGTGTTGAATCCTCTTGTTATATTGAGTCGCCTGCGATTTCTTTGGCTTATTTCAAATCTATGCTTGAGGGCAAGCATGATCTAGATGTGGGGAGAATTGATAGCTCGAAATCACATGTGCTTTATGTTTATATCATATGCGATATTTGATTGATTTTGATTGGATTCTACCTAATTTCTGTGCGTATTATTTATTTCCGACAAGTAGAATAGAAAAAGCAAATTTGGTGAATTTGGAGGAAAATAAAAGAAAAAAAAATCAGCATTGGACAATCAAGTTAATCATGACCATGACTAACAACATCCTGCTAACATGAGAATTTAATTAAGTAAAAAGAAGGGGAAGTCACACGCAAAGGGGAGAATGACGAGAAACAGGCACACACATGAGCAGGAGACTAATAGATTCATGAATCGCGCATGAGCAAATCAACAGAGAATTTCCCTTCCGACTATGACTTTATCTTTCCTTATTGTTCTTTGTTATTTGATTATGGAGTAGATATTTTTCTGGTGTAAGGGATGATAATGTTTTAGTCCTTGTGTTTTGGAGATTCTTGACATTCTTTATAAAAGTTCTTTTTAGAATCACTATGTGTCTAATTCTGATAGTAGTGTTTGTGATTGTTAGATCGATTGGATATTTTTGTACCAATATTTAAATTAGTCTGAGAATCTGAAGTCAATTCAGGTAGGATATCCGTAATTGTATTCGCACTTGAATAAGTGATAACTGGGTTGAATAGTCCCTTCCTGGGGGTTAGCAATCAATTCTAATTGCTTCTCTTAGGTAATAATTACTTTGAATTGGGTTTTTCTGAAATAGAATGCAATTAGGCAATATTTCTTATGGCCGTACCTAAGTTTATTAGCTTAATTAGTGGTAGTTGATGGTCATACCTTAATTACCTACACTGTAACGAAAAATTACTTGTCAGAGCTTATTGATAACTATAACCAATTTATTGATAATTTAATAAGAACTAACTTCATTGAGTTAATGATGAAAGACAAGTGGCATAACTGTATCATGCCTTGAGTCAACCAACCCCTTAATTGCTAGTTCTCAGTTAATTTAATTTTTTTGTTATTTTATCTTCATTAGATAATAAAAGAAAATTCCCCTCTTTTATTTACAATATTAGAACACGAAAGAGTGAATCACACAATCTATGTGGAGACGATCTCTTCTCCTGTATTACAGTAAATTGTGATCATTGAGTAGGTGAAATATTTGATTGATCGTGCGACCGGTCATTTTGACACCAATAGAGTAAACCCATTCATATACATTATCGATATTTCCAGAAATATTTGCACATAAGCTAAGAAAACATAATTTGTTGTTCCCATTAATTGATTCAGGTTATTCACTTTTGGTTCACTGCAAAGAACTGGACTGAATCGCTACTGATACATAAGCTTCTAATTTGCAATGTAAAGAGTAAGATGTTTGAATCCAAATCAATAGTCACTAAAACCTCCACACATTTTAAAAGATTTTCTATTGATTTCAACAAGGTTCTACAACTTGGAATCATTACCTTCACATAGTAAATATAGCCTGAATAGAAATGCAAACAGGCAATATAGGTCATATGGTAGAACACTCACGAGAGGCAAAGGGTATGATTCCTCACACCTCCACCATTGTTGTTGATAAATTCTTCCAAAGTTTAAATTTCCTACGCCTTTCATAATCATTGATGAAACAAATTAAGGGACTAGTAAGTCCAAAACCTCCAACCTATATAGATCATATTCTTTACAAAACAGACTCTAAAAGAAGTATTAGAACATAAAATAAAATTAAAGATACATCCAAACTATATAGACTTATTTACGGTTTACCTAATGTGACCTTCGAATCTTCAATAAAGCAGTCAAATAAATAAATGTTGCCCACTTCTTTTAGGGATTTGAACTTCCTTGCCAGACCAGAGTGGATGTAATATTGTAATATTTTTAACTAAGTAAAAAAATCAGGCTAGCTATTATGTATGATATTTATTTTTTTTAATTCTGTAAAAAAGAATGTTTAGTAAGATAGGAACCTTATCACTCCGTACAGAATAGGTAGACTTCCTCTCTCTACTACCCAATTTCCCAGTCGTTTACGTAGTGGAAGCCCACTCCTTGGATGGATGTGGGTTTGGTTAAAAACTTGAACCATAGGCATCGTCGTAATATGCTCGCCCAAGGCGATAACTCTCACCGTCACTTCCTTTTCATGTACTTTAGATTTATATCTTGTAACTATTCGTGAATCAACCTATTGAAACATGATTAGAAAATTAACTTTTTGCATATTATATGATGTTGTGTACATACCTCATGCATTTCCAATATGTAGCAATTTAAGTTTTTGCTGCATTGGAGAAGTCTAAAACATATTTTCCATGCCTTTTTAAGGGCCGTTGTTGATAAATGGTGTGAATTTCTTTGAAATGTGTCGATAATAGAAGATAAATCAGAATGTTCCTACAAAATTAATTTCAATTAGCAATTAGTAACTTAATACAACTAAAAAGAATGAAGCAAATACAATTAAGACATTTTGGTAATGGCTAATATTATAGGTGAAAAGTGTCTAATATGAATTGAATTTTGTGTGAAAATTTTCAGTATCTAACATGGTAAAATATTCTAAGTTAGATCAATTTTTGTTTTATAATCAGTAACAATCATATTAGCATTTTTAGAATGTATATATCAAAGGATGTTACAGATAATCCCTAAAAATAAGCCAGAGACTTTTCTACAAACCCACTACTAATAAACATTATTTTGATTCAAAGGCATTATTTGACTTGATTTAACATACTAATATTGATTCAAAGGTTTGGTGAAAATGTCTGCCACTTGACACTCAGTTGAACAATATTTGATATTGATTTCCTTGCCAGCAACCAATTCTCTGATCTTGTGAAACTAGATATCTATTATGTTTGTTGCGACCATTGATTTAATATATTTTTCGTCAAAAACTGATATTTGATTGTAAATATGAAAAAAATAATTCAAGTTTTATACAAAGAAAAGAGATAAAATATTGTAATTAATTTTTTAAAATTAAATAAATAAATAATTATCCTTTATTTTATAGTTTTTTTGAAGATAAATTATTATGTGATTTTTACAACAACTATAAAAACAAATGGTTGATTATTATTTATTTATTTATTTTAATAAAAAAATTATTTAAGATATTTTACGTCTTTTATTTGTATAACTTGCGTAATTTAAGCATTTATTTAGAACCAAACATTAGCTTTGGACAATGAGTGTATTTTATGCAAACTCTAAATTTTAACAAATGGTTTCACTCAATAAATAAATTGTTTTATTCATTTTTACTAAAACACAAGTGAATCTTATATAATTTATCCAAAATAAGTGAAATACGATTATATACTTCCCATATAAAAGTTACAAATTTAGAAAGTAAGTGAAAAAAATAAATTTATGCATACTTACTATGTAATAGTTAGAAATTTGGAAAGTAAGTGAAAAGGAAAATTTATGCACTTACCAACTTACTAATGAAATACTATGAAATTCTTTGAAAGTAAAATACACATATAATACACTTACCATGTAAAAGTTAGAAATCTAAAAATCAACTTACCAAATAAAATATAAAATCTTTAAAAGTAAGTTAAAATAAAATTTAAATACTTACTAGTAAACCTCATAATTTTAAAGTAACTCCTCCACTTTCCAAATAAATCATGTAAATTTAATATACTTACCAAACAAAAATGATGCTTTCCAATTATTTTAAAAATCAAATAAAAAATATGTAAATAATGTGTCTATCCCAAATTATATAATGTAAAAAATATCAAATATACTTGCCTAATAACAATTGTACTTTCCAATTATATTTTTAAAAATCAAATAAAAAAAATATTAGAAATCTGATTCATTAAATTTTGTTAGATTTAAAATTAAAAAACTGATAGTATAAATATCAACCATAACCAGAACTATAGACATCAATAGCTCTTCTTCCTTCTACAAAATTTTTATCTACTTGAACTTTGTAGTTTTCAATTATTATTATTATTATTATTATTTTTCGATACATCATATTTAATATTTTTTTTCATACAAAATAATATCTAACGATTCACATTCTGTCTATTTGGAATGACGACCAATGACCTACAACTTTTTTGC